CTATTTGGTCGTAAAATTGACTGTTACGTGAAGTCTCTTGAACACATCGCCAATACAGAGAGCGGTTGAAGACGTAAGAAAGCATTAGAGCTTCTTGACCTTTATAGAATGGCAAGTACTATAGCTTTATGTGAAAAGGTTTTTTTAAGAATGGTGGCGTGATAGGGGTCTGCTAGATGGCCTATCATTTAAGACTGTTAGTTGAGCCACAAAGGCAGTGTTGGGATACAGATGATCTGCTAGTTTGCCTGATGCTTAAAAGACTGTTAGTCTACTGGCACTATCACTCACAGATGAGCTGCTAGCTTGTCTGATAACGAAACAAAATAGATAGAATGAAAATACAAAAGTAAGGATACTGCTAATTCACCAAATTTTCATTTTAGGGTACTCGTCCAGATAGAAATAAAGCAAAAGAATGGGACGTTCATATAAACAGGACCATATTTATCAATCAGATAATGGAACTATAAATGGTGGAGCATTTTTTGATCAAAAGAGATCTAATAAAACGAGGTAATAGTTCTTTTTTTTTCTTTTTTAAACTAAAGCTATAATACATCTTTTTTTTAAACTACAACCTCAATTTAGGACAATAATAAAGGCAGAAAATGTACAAAAATAGCTGATTTTTTCCCTGTGAGTAATGCTACTGCTCACCTTCCACCACAATTCGACCCATCCCAAATGCAAAATTCAGAAAATGTAACTATATTCCTATTATTTTAATAAGAATCCCAGAACAAAATCTCATTTTTAGCTGCATTCACAGATCAAAACCATCAGAGAAATATCTCCATCATTTACATTAACGATGGATTCAACTTATATACCATCATCCTCTAATTCTACAAGTGACGAAGAATTTGTAAAGACAATGTGCCTCGCGAGCTTACATGTTATTTTACTAGTTCAAGTGATTCTCATTGGCGTTTAAATAAAAATTCAATTAGAGTTAGTATTTTTAATGCATAGATAAAATATTGTAACTGGGTTTTTATTTATCATTTTTATCATTTCAAATAGTGGATTATAAACAATATTGATATTTTAGAAATATGTGTTGAATATCGTACATTAGTATTTGAAAAGTTTGAATCAATTGAAGTCACTTTGAATGTCATTGAGGAGCTGTTAATACTATATTGTAATATTGGCAGTAAAAATGTAACTTTATTAGTTGTTCTCACTTTTACAGGGCCCTAAGTACATTTTTGTTTTTGAAGAAGAAAACCCACAAGGACTATGTGAATATTTTGACGACAAAGTATGGGAAAAAATTTTCGCTGAATTTCGAAAACTATTTCCATATGGACCAATTCCGGATAAGATTTGTGATTTGACTGCTCATATCATTAAAGTAATGCATTGACCATGTTGAATTTCTTTTGAAGAAGAATACTAGTTCTAATTATATGAATCTTTTATATTTTAGATTGTATGTGAAAAGCTAAATCAAAGAGAACTCAAGTAGCTATAAGGCATTACTTACGAAATTTTGAGACTACAACTGAAGAAATAATATTGGAATCTTTGAAGATTTGTATGTTTTGTGATCTGCAATAACAGAATTTCTTCTTACAATAATCTTACTCTCATTTTGTTACATGATTAACAATGAGCAGTCTTCGTTCACAAGGAATCGTGTTATAGAAGAAATGCATATGATTCAAAATGTTTTACCAATAATTATATGACCTTTCTTTGAAAATAATAGAAGAATAATCTTGGAAGGTTATTTATTGACAATTTATAAATTTATTTTACCCATAATATTAAAGATATGAACCTGTTTTTGTTTTTATTCACAGGTCGAACAAGATGTGTAAGTTATCCGCACTTGCACAGAGACAATTTGATCCAATTCTCATGGGCATGAAGCCTGATTTCACTGTTAGAACGATGAATCCTAACAAACATGTAGAGTTGCTTATTGGTGAAGTCAAACCACCAAACACGAGAGATGTTCTTGTTTCAGAAGATCTTCTTTGTCTTGACAAAATGATGAAGTGTTCTTTGGACAAAACAGTTGAAAATGGAGTTGATGATCAAGTTATATGTGGCTTACAAGTAGTTAGTAGGTGAACAAAGTTAGACTATTGCAAGTAGTTCTTTATAAAAATCGGTCAAAATTGAACTTGCTAAAACTAAGCAATTTTAATGGTGCTGATAATGTACTATTAACATACAAAATTTTGCAAATATAAGCACTTTATTAGCATTTTATTACTATATTTTAATTTTATAAATATATTTGTCAATTATTATGCTAATAAAATGCTAATATTAGCAATATATTATCAATATTTTAGTAATAATAAAGTCCTAAAAATTACCATTATTTAACTAATTTATTAGATATTTAAAGGCGCTGATAATGAAATAATCTTGTAATAAATTATTAAAATTGCTAACTTAGTACTAATAATGCACTATATATTGATAATTATTTGCAAATAATTGCATATCTCTAAATTATCAGATTTTTGTAAAGTTGCTAGGTGGACAAAAAATGTCACCTTTTTTTGTATTGATAAATTGACTTTCTCTTAGGATTCCTGGGAAGAGCTTATGTAATGGACCTCCGTTTCGATGGGATTTATTGAATGATCCTAATTGGTGAACTTCCACGATGCATCACATCCTGGGGTACTGTTTCGCAGTGTTACCAAGTTATAAACAAAATTCGAGCAAGAAAATGATAAATTTCGCAAACTTTATGCTTGTCATTCTTAATGTTGATTTATCTTTCTAGACAATCGTCAATAATGGAGCTATTCGATACCAGTCATCCATAAGAATGAATATTAAACTGTCGGAATCAAAAAAAATAGAAATGACCAAACTGATGTTTCTCAACCCAATGAAGGTTTCAATTTTAAAAGACATTACAAATTTAGTAAAGTAATGGTTTATTCGGCATTAATTTGATATAATAGCATTTTTGATAAAAAGTATAAAAAAGTAAAAATTGCATACAAGATCGCTTGTTAGTCTCGTATAGAATTTTATAAATTGTGAACTACATAAATAATTTGTAATTGAAGTTTTAATTTTAGTTAAAAATATCTAATTCCTTACAACTTAACATTATTGACGGCCCAAACGTTCAATGAAAATGACGCGTTTGTTAATTATAAAGTGTAGGATTATAGCTGACACCCTCCATTTGACACAAAGGATGTGACCAATTATTATGTGAAAAATAAGTATTTCTAATAATATATAAAGTAAATACTTATTTGTTATCCAATTATTGGAAGCAGCCTACTTTTACTATGCCAATTAACTAATTTCCTTACATAAACAAACTAAATTTATCATTACGTATTATTTACGAATCTAAATATATAGTTATAAAAATGAAAGTCGAAGTTCTAATAATCATAACATAGGCTAGTAAAAAATCTAGGTATTGCTACGGGCACAACATTCATATGCTTATGTGCACAACAATGGCCAGCATTTACTAAAATATACTTACCCTAACGTTAATCCTAACTCTGGCCAATGTTATGTTGGGCACATAAGTCACATGAATGTTTTGCCCGTGACTTTCTCCAAAAATTTATCCCCGTGACAAGGGTAAACCGGTGGATCTCGATTCCCGACAGCCATTTCCCAATATTTAAAGTTAGCCCAATTTAGAGTTAGGATTGGCCTAGTTTAGAGTTAGTGTTGGCTAAATTTAACTTGTCAGGTTGAACGGTTAACCGAATAATAACCTAGCACCGAGTGCATAATGCACTGTTTAACAAGATTCTTACATTTAGATAATAATTATATTTGCCCACCTATACTAATGTTTATCCCAATTACTAAATTAAAATCTTTGATAGAAAAATAACTTAGAACGAGAAATATTGCCGCTAGTATAGTCGCGACTAAGCTCATATTTATAATAAACATATATATCCTGAATTTCTCCACTATTCATACTTTATTTCTTTGAAAATTTCCTACATGCATAATCATTTAATCCTCGACAATGTCATGTTGACTAAAACCAAGTCGACCATACGGAATTTTAATTGGGAAAATCAACATTTTAGAAGGGAAATCGAAGTTCCAGCTTATGGTTTAATTTGTGGAATTATTATTAAAAATGGATCAAACTTTGGTAGTGAATAACTAGCTCGTTTTGGATGATTCTAACACCAAACTTGCCGCCTAAAAATGAGGATTCTAACGAATCAAAAGTTACCAAGATCAAATCACAGGATTCCGAAATCGTTCACCTCGGGTATTTTGATGCGTTTAATTCATCTGATTTTACTTGAAACGACATTAGAATCCTCATATCAAGACGGTCATTTTAGTATTAAAATCGTTCTAAACGGGCTAATTAATCAATGTTATTCAATGTCAAAGATTGGATACATTTTTAATAATAATTCCATAAATTAGCCCATATAATTTATAGAGTTATCTGCCTATCTATCACTATGAAATGATTAAGGTTTATATTACGAACCATGACCTTACGTGCCTAAAATTCTACTATAAACATTTAGATAATGCACTTGTGAGTTTGGATATTGGCATTTATGAAGTTTAACAATTCGATATCGCTTAATAATGGAATCAAATATAGTATAAGAGACACCATGAATAAAATTGGTTGACACACAATAGTGTTCCATACTATATTTGATCCTAATAATGTTTTTAAGTTTTGCTAATCTAAATTATGAAACAATTAGTTGATACAGAGTAGTTTTCCTTATACTATATTTGATCCTAATAATTTTTTCGGTTTTGCTAGCCTAAATTATATATCCTTTATATATGGTAACAGTAACATGATAGGAGGAAATCAATTCTTAATCATATATCTCTGTAATAATATATAATATTTCATGTAGATGAATATTTAATCGAATAAGTGAAAGTTCGTTATTAATTCTTTAGCAAACTAACTTTGATAAATCTATAAGCAAATGTAATTTTCATAGAGTCAATAGCGATAGTCGTCATTAATTTAAGATCAGATTTTTAGATTATTTCAAGATAGTTGATTCATTATGACGTCCAAAATAGCCAAGATCGTGATCTTTATCCTCAATATTAATTAAATTATCACCACTAAGATCATTAAAACCCATTGGCAAATTTAATATTTCTTCGGGGGTGATGTTATTTTCCAGTGGCAGGAAACTAAATTCAGGTACTGTACTTAAACAGGGAACACAATTATTCATTGAGTTATATATATTCATGTCACTGAATGATGTATCATTATTAAATATGATACCCGCGTAAGCCAATCTAGCATGATATATTTCAAGATTTTTACGAAGACGCTTGTTTTCTTTTTCGAGAAAAGCGGCTCTATCTTCAAGCTCTTTTACACGGGCTCGTTTTTTCTCTCGTAATAATCTAGCATAATTGCGTCTACGTTCGCGTTCGTATTGAATGTATTCTTCAGACATTTCTTTAGATTTTGTTTCGATTTTTGGTAATATTTCTCGTGACTCATATTGGTTGGGTTGTGTGCCTATTGGCGATGTAGGTGTAGATTGTGACTGCGTAGATATGGATGATATTTGTAATGGTGCCAATTGTTCTTGGTTAGGAATAATATGATCTGGCAAGGGTGTCGCTGTGTATCTGCAAGGGTGCAAAACAAACGTATCTTTCATAACTAACGGACAAGTCTGTTGTGCCGGACTTAATTTCTCGATATTTGGACTGCTTACGATACTTAGAGCTGAACTACTAATGGAATCTATTAGAATTATGAATAAAGGAAATTATTGAATAAACTCTAAACCATCAAATCAAGATATAAAAACTACTTGATAACAAACCATAATCTGTTTCAGAGTTTTTTTCATTAAAATTTTCTGTGTCGGATAAAATTAACGACATAATAAAATTGTGGCAAACAAAAGATTTTAAAATTAAAGTACACGATCTTTCGATTAAAGATAAAATATTTTTTATAACACAAAAAAAAGTTTAGAAAAAAAGTGAGAAAAAGATTATTTTTCCATCATTTAAATATTTACAATTAGTATCATTATCTATGACGTAATATTACGTTTTTATTAATAATTAGCATTCTTATATATTCTATTCAGGTTGTCATGTGATTTTAGACACATATTTTAATTAGCTAGAAAAACTTCATTGTCGAGGTGAATTTGTGAATATATTGTATACCCGTGGGTAAAATATCGATAATTTCCCTATGGATTACAAAATTAAATTTAAATTAACTTCATTATTTTATAAATATTATTAAAAAAATTTTTTAATATAAACTTGTATGGATCTACTACCACACCCTAAATCTAACCTAACTATACCTTGATCATAAAACATTTGTTTATTTACAGCATATTACATAATGATATTGCAATGATAATTACGGCAGGCGTATAAAATAAAGTTTAACAAAATTCTAATTAGTATGCAGTCTTTAATAGATTTATTTTATAAATTATTTATTTTTATTGAACTGTTAGTTGTTACTTTTTATACTAGACTTTTTTTTGAGTTTATAATTTAAAGTAGTAATACTAATATATACATACTGTAATATGTTTTTAGAGATGTTAAGTGGTTCAGATGAACCAGGATCGAACCTGGTTCAAATCAGTTTTTTTAGTAGTTCGTTCAAAGAAAAATTAACTAGAAGTTCTTGAACCAATTTCATAAACTAGCTCGTAGACTTGGTTTATAAACTCCGTTTATTAATCTAATTTATAAAACTGGTTTATGAACCTATTCAAAATAGGACCCGTAAGTAGTATAAAAAACATTTTATTAAATAATTATTTAATATTACTTATGTAAAAAATTAGTAGAAATAATTAATTAGTTTTATTTTTGCTAATTTTTTTATGTCAGGAAAAAAAAGGATCAGGAAACTGGTAGGAAAATGAGTGCCACCGCATATATACTGCCTTTTCTGATATTATGAATTGTGGAGATAGAAGCCTTCATAGGTTCATAAACTTGAGTTTGAACTTTAAAGTTTATGGTTCAAGTTTATAGACTCGAGTTCAGACTTCATCCCTAATTATTTTTTGGTTTTATAATTGATTGATAACAATATACATGCTATGTCCCAAATAATAATCAGTTCAGATTGTCAATTGGGACAATTCAAATATCTAACCCTAATATCAGTCTAAATTACTTATTTTTTTTGACCAGACTAATATCTGAGATAAATTATTATCTGGGATACAACATATATAAGTTATATACATATGAGTACAACCTTGTATATTGAGAATAATATTTAATTTAGAAATTGGTAATTCATTGCTAGTGTGATGCATTGCTACCTCCTAATTAACCGATCAAAATCTAATTTTGTATAATGTAAAATCCAAACAAAGCTATGCAAACCAAATAATTGGTCAATTAGGTTGTGATAAATGATAATTTATTTCATAGCAATTTATGTTTAAACTTTCTGGTTGTCACTTGATGTACTTATTTCTTCGATTTTTTTCCCCGCCATCATTTCTTCAACAATCATTTTCCAATATTTCTATTTCTCAAAAATGATTTCTCTAATACTTTCATTTTCATTACAATCGATTCCTTCAACACTTTAGTTTTCTTAATATTTTCATTTCCTCGGCACTTTCGTTCCCAATATTATAATGAGCCATAAGTTGTATTCGCGTTAATTTATTCCATCCATTTATTAATGTGCTTCAAGAAAATATCTGCGTCAGTTCCAAATAATTCTAATCTCGTTAATACTTACTTTGTCCTAACATAAGCTTTCACTCTAACCCTAATGAAGCTTAAATTTTGATCTAACGTAAAATTTAATTTGACGCATAACATATTAATCCTCCTATTATAGCCACCATAATTATTAACATAAGCATCAACTAAAATTATTAATTATTCATAAATGAAAAGATACAGTAAAAATGGCATATAATATGACGTTTTTGAAGTAGAAAGAAGTCAAACATTTATAATAATCAGTTTATTGATTTAGATAAACCAAATTTTAAAACCTCCATGATATACGAATTTATATTACCTTTTATATGATTTATTTATATACATATCTTTAATGATAAATCGAATGCAACCGGTTATAAAAACAGATTAATCGGATGGACCCGTTTATAATAATCCGGTTAATCGATTACGTATAATGAAACTGATTTTATAACCGGCCAAACCCGGTTATAAATTCGTTATATGAAATTTTATTTTTAATGTCCTTGAAGTTAGATCCAATATTATTAGTCAATATTAAATATCGAGAAATAAACATGGATCACATTAGAGGTTCAAGTTCCCCTTGTCAGATCAGCAGATCTGGCTCGGATAAATACTTTAATAGTATATTTCTAGCACCATTAAAGTTTCTATCCATTTTTTATTCTGCAGTCTTTGCTTTTCCTTAAACATTTATTTCGTCAACCACATGCTTCGCAAGTCTTTGAAGTGACGCTTCCTCACAGATCTAATACACGTTTACCTCGTGTAACAGAAATTGCGTGTAATGTCGCCAGGTGAGCGTCATTGGGACCCAACTTACTATTGATTTTTTCACCATCCGTGAGGTTTCAAAATTTGAAAGTAAAATGGTTTGGTAATTTTTCACCAACTATAGGGCAAGTTTGTGGTGCAACTCAGAAACCATATTGCAGAAAAATACGTGGTCTTTTTTCCTAAGCTTGTTTTTTTATTTGTTTATACCTTTTACCAATTTTCTTGTCTGCCTTGGATTTGTATTTTTAAATAGTTGTGCAATTCTATTAAAATCATTTTTACCCCACTCGACAATTTTACCTCATGAGTCATAACATGCGGAGAATGTACGTACTCCCGGATCTATGCTTATTATCGTGCTCCTCAACCAGTGTTGTCAAACGGCTTGTTCATTAGTATTGTCGCATCCTTTTATTATATGGGGTCTTTCCTTGAAAATCACCTTACGACATTTTCCGATCGGGCTAATTCGGACAAAAAACCCAAAATATCGGGTTGTATTTATATGTGAATCACATTTTGACTTATTGATTCAATAGATTATTCAATGAACTATCGAATCAATAAAGGTCAAATGTGATTCACATGTAATTACAAACCGATGTTTTGGTCTGTTTTGTCCTAATTAGCCGATCGGAAAATATCGTAAGGTGATATTATTTAGCACCCAAGAGTAGTGATTTGGACTGAGAAAAATTTCCTTAAGCGGTTAACCGAACCGAATTATTTCATTCAGCCGATTGCCAACCGGTTAAGATTAACTATCTACTACCATCGGAAATTCTTGGAGTTTTACTCAAATTTTTGTCTTGTCTTTATGTTCATTCATTTTCTTTTCGGAACTTTTCGGACCCTTTACTCTCTCCTTACATCATTTTTATATTATTCGATTCCGCCAACCGATTACCTAATTCTCAACCGGTTGTATCGGTCAACTGATTAAGAATTTCCTCAACTGGTTAACCGAAATTTATTCAGTTCGGGTCGATTAACCGATTATAGCCCAACCGATTCAAATCACTACCCAAGAGTAACATGATCAGAAAATTTCGTTTTGTTAAAAATCGCTTATTTCTCAATTTACATAAAAATCACCTTTAGTGCTTTAACAAAAAGTTTTTCTTGATTGATTTACTATATAATAACCTAACCTCTGACCTGGTTCTAAACGTTAACCCTAAAATTAATGAACTTTAAAAATTTTGCTGCGCCACAAACCTGGCACGGGGTGCTATGTTGAGAAGCGCGTATTGTACACGATTTTTATTATAATCACGTGCTAAAATAGCAATTGATTGTGTAACCTTTTTCTTTCGGTAATTCATTTTGAACCTTTTACCAGTTTGTTGGGAAAGTTTAAGTTGTGCCTTGTATGCAAACTTGTATTGTCGAATTGCGTATGATTTAGCTTCCCTAGGAGTATCCCACAGCCATTGTACATTCGACGTAGTAGACAGTTTGCTTTAACTTGCTTATAGTTAAGTTTGTCATAAAAGTGCAGCTAGATAATTTTATTATAAGTCCATCGAACTCCGTTCATCCATTTGCAAAATATTGCAGCCTAAGATAGAGTTGGGTAAATTCTAATCTTGAGAGTTTTTAGTTCGGATTCTTCTGGTGGTGGAGTATAGTTTTTATCATCAGGTTCAAACACGGAATACTTAACCTCGATTAGAGGTATGTTTTGTGGAGGCAAACTATGAGTTGACAAGAATACTTAACCTCGATTAGAGGTATATTTTGTGGAGGTAAACCAAGAGTTGACAAGATTATCTTTCCTGGTTTGAATATTTTGGTTGGTAGGCAGTCATAAACTTTGAAAATAGTTTGAGTGTTGGTGGTCCATTTTCATAAATTATTTTGTTTCTTGTTTTGTAAATTATCTTGCTTTTCATAAGGGATTTTGAACCTCTATGTATCTGTATTTATAAATGTTTAGAAATATGTTGTTACATATTCTGAAACAAATTACAAAATATATGCCATATTTCTAAATATTACTATTTAATTATGAAATATACTTACTAATAAAACAATGAAAATAATGTTATTTAGTATTGTGTAATTTGATACAGAATGCTGTAATTCTTACACCGTCGACCTAATATATTGTAAACTTGGATGGCATGCAAAAGAACTGGACTATCTATTGATATTGCCAACTTTGGCCATATGATCTGTTATGATCTTATGACAAAGATGGTTTTTGGACAATTTTTAATAGTTTTAACAGTTTATTATTGTTATGGGGTCTTTGCCTTGAAAATCAAGTTATGGGACATAGTAAATCATATGTCATATATTTGATTTTCAAGGCAAAGACCCTTATGATTTATAAAATTACTATTACACCATATGACCTCTTTGGTCATATAAAGTTGGATATGACTAAATGGCCAACACTGACTATGGCTATGTACAGGTAGGTAATTAATCCGGCCGGATAGCAGTATCCGTGACCCGGTTAATAAGTGTTTCGCAGGTTACCGGACGACTTAAAATCTAGTTTAATAATATAATACAGTCCACAATACAAATTTCACTTATAAATATCATGTTTTATATATTTTACATAGTATTACATGTCCTTTCGAAAATAGAAATGCTATATTCTTAAAAATGCTCTAAACTAAATAAATACAATCGAAGTGATTGACCAGTTAGAAGAAAGTTACCCTATAGGATTGTAATTGATTAATCTGTTAGCACTCGAGATACAGCAGAAACTATTACGGCTTATGCCGTAACAAATAATCACGGCATAAGTCGTAATAGTTTCTACCGCATCTCTAGTTAGCAGACTAAAATTTTAATAATACAGAGACCTCTCTAAGTGCACCCTCCATAAATGCATTCTCTATATAAAATCTCTTTAAGTGCACGGTGTAGTCTGGTCTCAGCTTATAATAATACTATATATTTTGCTCTCTATAAATGCACACCTTTTTTAAGTGCACATTTTTGAAATTTTTTACTATGGTCCCGAGGGGGTGCATTTAGGGAGATTCTCTGTATAAAGACTTACGATTTGCAGAAGAATTTGGATTGGGTAAAAAGATTATTAAAATTTTTTTTGAAATCTAATTTCATATGGCCTTAGTGAACCAATCCAACATTTAAATTATTTTTAAAAGAAACAATCAATTAATTATTCTTTACTGTTAGTTCAGCTATAAATGGTACGTAACAGTTTGGTGTGGTCCAGTCTGGTCTATTATGGTCTTTAATGCTTTATAGTCTTAGCTGCTCCATATTGGTCTGGTCTTAAGACTAAGAGCGGAGCAGACAAATTTTTTTGTGGACCATCAGTTTAGATCAGGCTACCTATACCTAAATAATGATTTGAACAATACATCTGAGAGTGTGATTTCTATCAAGAAATTTTATAAAAACATTATCGTAATCTTTTATCGTTATCCTTTATATGTAATGCAGGTAGCTTGCTATGTAGCATGTGAAAATCTACTTTGGTGACGAAGATGTTTTTTTCCATTGCCGTCCTTTTTAGAAGTTTATTGAGATGCTTTTATAAGAAATGATCTACAGTTGAGGTAATAACTTTAAGTGGAATTTACAATCCAACACCCAATCTTTTCCGTATCCTGAAATTGGAAAAGCTAACGTTAAAAGTTTTAATGTTACGTGCATCACTGCCTTATTAATGCTCCGGACTTTTAAACAAATTTCCGTTTTCTCATACTTTGAATAACGGCGTTTCTTAAACTGAAATTTATTTGACGTTGAGGTACTATATGACAAGCGCCCATTCCGGCTGTTTCACATAACTATAACCATTTTTGTATGTTCATAATAACAAAAGGGCTTGTCAAACATTTCTAATTTACATAAATATACACTAAAGGTTTCGGACCTTCAATCGTGCGTGAATACGTACGTACGTATCGGTATATACAGTATATATATTTTTTCTTTTTTTCTTGGACCATCCAGGAAAATATTATTTATTGAAATTGATGGCTTCAAATAATCGTAATCGTCAAGATAATAATAAGCGTTCGAATAGAAAAAAAAACTTTTCGAATAATAATTTAAATAATGATTTGAGTGAAGAGAGGGAACATACTGCGATTACTCCGTATGGACCGTCAAATGCTAATACAAGTATTTCAAATATCGATGGTAATTCTTATCCCAATGAAAGTTCAGCAATTACTGCTGTTCGTGATGAATCTAACAAACGTTCGAACAGAAGAACAAACTATCAGAATCATGAAAATAATGAAGATAGGAAGAGTACTGCAATTTCGCCATATGGACCATCGCACGTCAATCCTAATGTCTCAAATAATGAAGGTAACTCCCATTTAAATGAAAGTTCAGGAATTACTACGATGCGTGATGAGTTTAAGCGTTCTAATAGAAAAAGCAAAAACAAGCTAAACGATGATAGAAATAATGAGTTAAATGATGGTAGAGAACGTGATGCAGTTACACCCAACATTTCAAATGACGGAGTTGGTTCTCAATCAACAAACACTGCGATGCGTAACAAGTCTAATAATAGACGTTCAAATAAAAAAAGATTTCCGAATAATGAAAATGATCAAAATGAAGATAAAGACCATATTGCAACTACACAGCTTGATTCTAATTTTTTAAGTCATGAGCTAAATGATAATGGAAATAATCAGTTAAATGAAGAGAGGGAAAGTTTTGCA